ATAAATGGATTAAACTCTCCACATCGGTGTTATGTAAAGAAAGTAGACACTGATGTGATATATTTTCTCATACTACCATCCCTCTGCCCAGCTTATTTATCCTCTTGCTGAAACATCTACTTAGTCATCAGGGACCACTCCATGGGCATTTGTTTTAATAATACCACAAGCGCAACAGCAAGCGAGGTATGAATATTGAAGAAAAAAGATTGACTTTCAACTGACAGGAAAAAGCACGTCTGAACCTTTGGAGTGAAAAGCTGCAACTTCTTTGCCCTGATGTCTGCTTTGTGTCATGTAAGATCGTCTATCAGACTTGGTCATGAGATGTGTGGGTTTACAGTGTTCTCATTTCTGTCTTTGCTAACCAGTGATTTTTTGGTATTATTTAGTCCTATATCTGGTGAATATTAAGCTCTGTGTCAGCTACTGAAAAGAAGGTCCTAAACATAATCACTGTCTTTAAGGATATCATTCTGTAAAAAATAGGCATAAAGTGAACTGAAATGAAGTGCATATGCTTTCTGCACTTTGTGATCACAGAGCAGTATCACCCCCTCCCTCGAGGAGTCTGTCCTTGCATTTCTAACATCCTAGTAGTTTTAGCACTTTGAAAATGTTTGTGTTGTGGTTCACAATGCATACTTATTTTATAAGCTAGGTGCAATAACTGCTTAGCTAATTCATGGAAAGACATTATTTCACCATCATATTATTCCAAACAACAGCTTAATGAAGTACTTTGTCAAGACTAAGTAGCAACAATGTTTTCGAAGGTTGGTAGGTGCAGCATGCTGAACTTTGTATTGTGGACGGGTGAAATTTTTAAGGGTAGTCCTTCCTTTAAAAAGGTATGGTCTTCTTGGAGAAAAATGCTGATTTCACTTTTTAAATTTAATCTATTTGTATATATTTTTATTGAAAAAACATTGCATTACAATACTATGTAATTTTCAGGTGTACCTCTTAGAAAATAAACATCTGTAATACACTGTTATTAAGTTCACCTCTGTAGATCAGTAGAGCAGCAATGCATAAATGATTTATTTATTTATGCATACAAGAACTAGGGTCCAGACCAAAGGTGTAGGGTAGGGGAGATTGAAAGCATTTACCGAAGACAGAGTTGGGAGCAGAACAGGCAGAGAGATGAATATACACTGCTGAGAGGAGCAGCAGGCGGGTCAGGAAAGGTCTGCCACGCCATGTAGGTCATCTCCCTGGCCGGGGATTGAACTTGTGCTGCAGTGGCTTCGGAGAGCTTCATAATGTGGTGCTTTAACCTGTTGCACCACCACGGAGAGCCCTAGCTGTTATATTTTTAATGTGCCTTTGCATTTAATCTTTAAAATAACCTTGTAGGGGCCCTCCCTGGTGGCATAGTGGGTTAAATCACAACACTGGGAAGCTAAAGTCACTTCAGCATGAGTTCGATCCTCATCCTGGGAGGTGACCAAATGGTGTGGCAGAACCTCTCCTGACCCACCTGCTGATCCCCTCAGCAGTGGACTTCATCCATCTGCCTGTTCTGCTCCCCACTCTGTCTCTGGTGAATCCTCTCACGGCCCCTGCACCTCTGGCCTGTACCCAGTTCTGTATGCACAAATAAATCTTTTAAAAAAGAAATAACCTTGTAGGGTAAGTTATTGCAAACACTTGTGGTGACAGTAACTTTGTTGCCCCTTTGTGGCAGACACAGCAGTCATATTGTAGGTTTGCAAGGCAAGACTCTGTTCCTTGAGCAGAAGTTCTCATGTTGTTTATTGAAAGCATACAGGTTAGTAAAAACAGATCATGCACCAGTGGTGTGAGGAATAAGGTCTGTGGGGGGAAGGTGGACAAAATTTTACAAGAAACAGAGACGGGGATATTGTGATACTATATCAAGAGACATTTGCTCCAGCAAAGTATATGATGTTGTTATAGGCAGAGTTACCCAGAGACCACCATGGAAATAGTCACATCATCAGGTCAGCAGCAGCCTAGGCATCACAGGGCCTACCTTGTGACACAGGCTATTCTCTGTCAGCAGGCAGGGGTGCTCTGCTGTGATTTGCAGGTAGCAAACAAGTTGTAGTTGCCCATGAGCGCTCAATTCATAGGTAAGAAAATTTAGTGAATTTGTACAATTACATTCTAATGGATGATGGAGAGAGCATTTGAAGTCACCTGGCTTTAACTTACAGCACCTGTGGGCAAGACATAGTAAGAGCTAAGGAGTTCATGTGAAAATTAAGAGGCAAGGCCCCAAGTATCCTGTTTGGGTACCAAAAAGTATTTCAGCATCTGGTGTGCAGAGCAGTGGCTTCTGAGTGGATTAAGACCAAATGCTGAGTGAGGAGCAGAAAACTTTAACAATCTAAGTGGAGAAAAGCCCAAGAGTTAGCCCAACAGTTGTTCAAGATTTTGTGAGGAGGTAAGGTAGGAGACCTGAGAAGGCGAAGACAGCTCCCAACTTAACTGTGAATTCCCATGTGAAAGCTGAGGCCCTTCCCTGCTGGCTTTAATGACACACAGTTTTCCTGTACCTAAATTGAAATGTGAAAAATAAGGTGTAGGGAATTTTATTTGCATTTTGCACAGATTATAGTCACATGTTTAGGTTGTTACAAGGCTATCTTATTTTATTTTCAAGTTTTATATTTTAGAATCTTACTTTTTACATTGAGTGTTGATGACATTGTAGAGTAAATGGATTGATCAGGCCTTTTGTATCACTGACCTCTGCTGCACTCACTTGCAACCTTGGTCATGTTAATGCAGAAGATGCTTGGGAGTGTGGGCTCGAGTCACGCAGGTGTCCTGGTTGTGGCCACTGGGAGCCTGGGTGCGCACATGTGGAGTTGTGCACACCTGAGCACCTGAGCTTAGAGACCAGGGATAAAAAGGCAGCGTCACCCGGGGGGCAGGGAATCAAGTTGCCGTCTCCCCGCTGGTTGGTTTTCCCTGCGTACTGTTAAAACCTGTGAAGACTGAAGGCTCTAAAATTCTCTTGTAAACCATTAGAATCGACGGTGAACCTGCCCGGCCTTGCCCAACAGACATGTTCTACATCTGTGCATATCAAGACTTAGGTGTGGCTAGTGGGTAGCATGTTGGACAGAACAGGAAGCTGGATTATTTTTTAAAATTTCTAAAGTAATATATATATGTAAACATATTAAAAATGTACAGAAATTTAAAAAATAGTAAAAGTAACTTCCTCTGCCTTCATTCACTGACGTCCCTTTCTCCAGTGATAACCACCATGGAAACATTGTATTCGTTCAGAAAAAGAAAACTAGGGCTATCACAGTTTCACATGTATATCCTTTTATAAGTTACAAAAGTGATTATACTAGATCTTCTATTTTGTATCTTTTTTATTTAAAAATCTGTATTGGAGATCTTGACACAACACATTTAGTTATAGCTCTGTGTTTTAAATGTTGCCATGCATTCTTTGTTTGCAAATGGAATTTATCAGTTCCTTATTCTAGGTTTTTATATTTTCATTTATTTTTTTATTTTTTGCTATTAAAACAGGTCATTATTTTGTATGTGTGTAGGGATGATTCCTAGCAATGCAATTGCTGGATCAAAGGCAGAGAACACAGCTTCGTAAAGAGGGTCCTGACGGCTCTCTGTTACAAGTCCTATTTCTCTTTTTTCCCTTAATTTTACTTATTTTATGCATACAGAACTGAGGTACAGGCCAGAGGTCAGCGGCGGTGAGCATATACACTAGAGAGAGTGGGGAGCAGAACAGGAAATACACTGCTGAGGGGAGCAGTGGGCAGATCAGGAGAGGTCTGCCGCGCCATGTGGATCACCTCCGGGGCCAGGGACCAAACTCACACTGAAGCAGCTGTAACTAGCTTGCAGTGCTGTGTCCTAACCCGTTGAGCCATTGGGGAGGACCACAATTCCTATTTCTAAGCAAGGAGGGAATACAGAATCTGGGGCTAGTGTAGGAAATAAACAATTAAAAAATGGAAGAAAAGGGAACCAGAGATAAAATAAAGGCAAAGAAACTCTGGCTGTGAGACAAGAATGATAAATATTTGTATCAGTAGTCTTAAAGGTGACCTTTAAGTTTAATCAGTATAGTTCCTCCCAGGAGTATTTATGCAGAAAGTTTTAAATGTCAATTTATAACAATAAAAGTTTAGATTTTTAGAGGCACTTTAGAGTTTATATTTTAGGCTGTTTATAAAGATTATAAATATATTGCATATTTGTCACATGTAGTTTGGAAATGTAATAAAGTAGAATACGGAAAATGCATTTCACCCACTCAGCTAATATTTTAATTTGCTATTTATGTTTATGAATTAAATTTTGCATGTTGAAACCATGTTTATATCCAGGTTTTCCTTTGCTTAGCATTTTGATATTGTTTTATTTTCTTTCATTATTCTTTGCCTGTTTTCTTTCTTTTATAAATAATATAACAGTTTATTTTTACATCATTTTGTGCATTTTCCCATTTCAGTTGCAATCCCCTTGGATTTCTCATAACCACATCACCTGTGTGCCATCACCATAGTCCAGTGCACTTCCCTTCCCCCACCGTTTTTGATCCTGTTCCCCGCTCCACCCCCATAAAATGTCTCTGGAATATAGCTATTCATCATTATCATTATTTTTTTGCCTGGTCTGTTATACTCCTGTTATGAGTGAAATTATCTGGTATTTTTCCTTTTTTTTCTGGCTTATTTCACTAAGCATGATCTTTTCCAGCTCCATCCATGTTGCTGCAAAAGGCATATGTTTATCTTTTTTGGTTGCTGAGTAATATTCCATTGTGTATGTGTACCACATCTTTTTAATCCAGTCATCCACTCTTGGGCATTTGGGCTGCTTCCATGTCTTTCTGACTGTAAATAAAGCAACAATAAACATGGGGGTGCAGGTATCTTTTTGAACCAGTGTTTTTGTGTCTTTTTGGTAGATACCTAGGAGTGGGATTGCTGGGTCATATGGAAGCTCCATGTTTAGCCTGCTTTCTTTCTCTTTAGGTAACAGAAATCTAACATTGTTTTGGAATGAATTTGGGAACCAAGATAGCAGGGATGTGGACAAATCCTTAGATCCTCTTCAGTGTCGAAGACGACAAGCCGTGGCCATCCCGCTTATCATTCAGTGTGGTGAGTGCACACATTTTGTGGTTTCTTAAACAGGCGAGTCACTGTGTCACAAAATAGGGCAGAAGGAAAGTAAAGGTAGTGGGTAGCACATGATTCTTGCTTTCAAAGAGGTATGATCTCGAAGAAGGGTTAACATGAAAATAATTGTACATATGGTACAATAGGTGAAATAGGATCTTTGAACATTAACAGAAAAGGGAGGAGGAGGAAGCTGAGACAAAATTTCAAGACAGACGCAGCTTTGCCATGATCTTGAAAATAGAATTTTGACCGGTAACATATAGTGAGTGGGAAATGTATATTAATTTCATTTGTGTACTTCAGCTAAAAAATTTGCAGTAGACTAATAGAAGCCACTATTTTTCTATTTTTAAAACATACCACTGTGTTTAATATAAAGATATTTAGTAATTGACTACCAAATGAATGAAGAATAAACAATAAAAGATAAAAATAATAGATTGGGTAAACATGTTAGCATCTGGAATGCTAGGATAAGGCATTTTTATTTTAATATGCAATGTGGAGGCATTTAAAGGTCTGTTAATAGGAAAATAATCATCTTTGAAGCACTGAGCACTTATTATGTCTCAGATACATCTTCTAGCCACTGTACAAAGAATTGGACAATCTAATATGTGCAGGGAAGCCACTGTCCAGTAGATGAGTCAAATAAGCAAATAAAAGTACCCAATACTATGTCAAATGCTATAGTTACTTATTTATTCACCTCTCCAACCTTGAAACTGAGATTCCCCAAAGAAGGACCTAACTGGCAGCTGTAACTTGCTGCAGTAAGGTTGCTTTGGTAGGATAGTCATGGGTGATTTGGAGGAGGTTTAGAACAAAGGGAGGATTTCTAAGGAGACACTTGTAAAATCTAGGATCCAGGCGAGAAATTACAAATGTCTAAAGAAATGCACAGTAGGGAGATTCAAGAGTAACGTTTATGATAGATGTTACAAGATATAATTGAGGAGATTAATGACCTACGGGGTGTTAATGATAATGGCTAAGCATTACTAGTACATGTTTTTGATGTATACCAGGTACTGACAGAATCCGATCTCTATTACCTGACAGTTATGTGAAATAATTTGAAACGATCAAATTATTTAACTTCTCTAAGCCTCAGTGACCATTATTTATAAAATGAAGTTAGTATATGTAGCCACATTATACAAGTTTTGTATGAATTAACACATTGTTTGTATGAATTAACACATGTAAAGTTTACTAAGTGTATTAGTCAGTATTTTTCAGAAAAAGAAAGAACCTGTAGGATAGGACAGATGTATAGTAATATAAATTGATATATATTTATTATATGTATAGATATATGTAACGTATGTTACATGTATTATAAGAAACTGACTCATGATTATGGAAGCCCCAACATCTGCAGTCAATCAGTTGGAGACCCAGGAGAACCAGTGATTGGTTCTATTTTGAGTCCAAACATCTGAGAATACCGAATGATGTAGTTCTAGGCAGGCAACCTAGCAAGAGTCGATGTCTCAGTTCATGTCTGAGTACAGGAAAAGAAGGACATTAGTCAGAAGATGTTTCTTCTTGCTCACAAGAGGGTTTGGCATTTTTTTTCCTATTCAGATGCTTAGATGATCGGATGAGGCCCTTCCACATTAGTGAGTGCAATCTGGTTACTCAGACTACTAACTCAGATGTTGTCATTTGATTTTTTCCTATTAGGGAAAAAAAAGTCATTTGAAGTGTATTTATTTCCTGTTGGAAGTCTTCATGTGGTGTAAGGAGAGATGGAGTGAGATCTCTTCAGATTCTTTTGACTGAAAGTAGCAGAAACCAACTAAGAAGAATTTAATGATAATTTTAAGTTTATTAATTTATAATTAATTACATCGAACCTATACTTAATAATAATGATGATAATAATAATAATAATTTATAGGTGGTCCCTGGTATTCATAGAATCCTAGATTATGAATCCTAGAATCCACCATCAAATACAATGATATATGATCAGGACTTATTTGTCTTTTGAACAAAATATACCATCTGCTTTTGCTTTGTGCAACTTGACATCTCACCATGACGGATTCACTTCTAATTGTGGTGTTTGTCATGTGCAATTTTGTTTTGATATCAGATCTTTGCCTGAAATGGAGAGTCTTGCCTTCCACTACTAATTACTCAGGAAAGGAATTTCTTGACATCTGGATTTGTGCTAACAACCCTAACCTCTTGGAAAACAGGTAGTTTTTAAGAGTTTTCTGAAAATCTTTACTCAGTTTTAATTCCTAACATACATAGGAATAAAACTAGGAAATATCAGGTATGTGTAGCCCTCAGTTGTATCTTTTCTAACTCGTTGTAGCCCTTTTCACCTGTGGAAATTATTTTATTAGTGTAGTTTTCCAACAAGATAAAGGAGTTGTGGATGTAACTGCCTGCAAACATTGGGGTGTGCAGCTCAGCACTGCCACTGGCAGAACACCATGGTCCAGTGTGAAGTTCTGTCCTCCAGTTCACGCTCACACAACATACGACCTTACCATCCAGAGGCTGTCTCCTGGGCCATTAAGCTGTGAGAGCATGCACTTTTTCAGTTTAAGTCATATACTGATTTCATTGCTTTGTGCTCCTTTTTAAAAATCTATCTATATTACTTGCTTGCCTCCTCCCCCACCTCTTATCACCATCGCCCCCACAGTCCTCCCTCCTGTTCCCATTCTGTCCACCTCCCCTGTAGGATCTCTCTGGTTTAAAGAGTAAAAGAGGAAAAAGACAGATTAAATATTGGTGCATGTCAATGCTATTACAAGCCCCTTCAGACTTATAGTCATGCCCAGGGACCCGGGGGAGTTACCACTCCCCTTTAACAGTCAAGCATTGTTTCTCTGTGGAGTTTGTTCTAAGTTCTTTGACCTGGATATGCAGATCAATATTGCTAATATCCAGTTTAGGGTAATAACTGTTGCTTGGTTATTTTTATCCATTTACCAAATAATAAAAATAATGATGATGATAATGATGATGATGGAACAAATATTTTCAAAGAAGAAAATATTCAAGAACTGCTATTCTCTTCTACCTGGACTCCCCAGATTAATCATATCTATAGACTAAAGGAAATACCAGAAAAGATAAGGGCTCCAAGATTTCAAATATCAAAATCTCCCTTTCTCAGTTTGCAGCAAATGTGTTTTCTTTTTCAAAATAAAATTTTGAAAAAAGATATAAATAGATATAAATAGATACAGAGATATAAATAGATATAAATAGATACAGAGCTGTCCTGATCGAACTAGAGACTGAACCTTGGGTCCAAAGTTATCCTCTTCTCATTTCTGTTTCCTATTTACTGATTACAAATGCTGATCTATTCTCAGTTATTCATTTCAGAAAAATGGGATTTCAGGCCCCCTAGGGGCTAAGCAGCATGTTCTTGTGGCCAAGGTTCCGTGGACTCCGGACCTGATATCAGCCCTCACTTGGAACTTAAGTATCTCCCACATTAGAAGAAAGTGTTAGCTGAGTTTCAGTGTTTAACAATATTGTTCACTTTGAGCTGAGAATCTTTCCTGCATCAAAGATTTGTGTTTAAGGTTCAAACTCTGGGGTGTGTCTGCTGGGGTTTGGCCCCTAGCTCCATTTGCTGTGAAACCTTGAATGGAGTTTAGTAATAGTACCTTGATCTTTCCTTGGGTGCAGCTGAGCCCCTGCTAAATTCTGGTCAGGGGGGGCTCTGATACTAACCATAAATATTTTGTCCCCTCTCCCACAAGTCTAACTAATCTGACCTGTGATTTCTTTTTTTTTTTTTCCTAAAGATTTATTTATTTATGCCTGTAGAACTGGGGTGCAGGCCAGAGGTGCAGGGGGTGGTAAGAAGATTTACCAGAGACAGATCGGGAGCGGAATAGGCAGAGTGACAAAGTTACACTGTGGGTGTGACAAGAGAGGTCTGCTGCACCATGTGGGTCACCTCCCTGGCAGGGATTGGAGATAGAAGTTGTGCTGAAGCGACTGCGGCTAGTTTCATAGTACTGGGCTTTACCTTGTTGCACCACCAGGAAGGGGCCCTGACCTGTGATTTCTTATATCAGTCTTCAGTGCTGTCATACCCACAGAACTGGAGACCCGTCCTTACAGTTTTCCTTATCTCTGGTTTGCCATTACCTTCGAATTGACACACTTACCCTCTTCTCCTTGAAAAGTGGTTATGCCATTACAGAGCCTTGTAAAATTAGTTTCAAAGCTGCACTAATTCTGTCTGCTTAAACCTTGAAAAGAATGCCACTTTTGACAACAGGCAGGATAAATTTAACCATGTTGACAGAAAACTGATTGACCTTAAAATCCAAAAACCAAAAGTGTTCTTATATTTATACTTAAGTCCTTAATTCTTTAAATACACTGACATGATATTGACCATCAGTATTTTATTTCTATTTAAATGATTATCAGCCCCCCCCCCCAAGCTAAAAGTGGAGGCAAGAGATTAGGGGAGATAGAAAGAAAAAAGCTTAGCTCAGTTTCAATAATTTAATAATATAAAACTTGGTGATCACCAGGGAAATCATTTGGGAGCGGGCACTTCCTTAATGGAACTCAGTACCAGAAATGATGATTCCCAGGGGGTGATATGCATTTAATGGCTTTGCTTAGACTTCTGACACATTATAATGGAATGGGTCTGAGAAACTTATAAAATAACAGTTGCTGGACATGCACCTTATACATACGTGCTATTGATTTGGGATAGAATCATGTTAAAATTGTTCATTGAAGTGATGAGACATGGAGTACAGTTCTTAGGCAACAGAGTAAGGAGGTCAGAAGTGGTCTTGTCTATATTTACAGGAAATATACTTACTGTCAGCTATTAATCACCTTTTGTGGAATGCCAGTGAACAGCATTTGAATGAACAATGTCTGTGTCATCAGAACTTGGGCAGGAAAGAAAATAATAGTTCTCCCTTACATGGAAATTACATATGCTAACTCATTCCATCTTTCAGTAACCCTGTGAGCTTTCTCCATTTTTGCAAAGAGAACAGGCAGGGATAAGAGAGTTGTCCTTGATTTGTCCAGGATTCTTCCCTAAAGGTGACACTTGAAGCCAAGCCTTTTGATGCAAAAGCTGGCCTCTTTTCGCCTTACCACCTTTGTGCTATGAAATTATCCATTTACATTTAGGAAACTCAATTTCAGCTAAATACTTTATGGTGGCAAAATAAATGATTTTACAAATGGTCATATTCAGGGTTGGTGACCCAGTCAGGGTAGAATGGAGCCATTCTTTCTCAAACCATGACAGCTTCCTTTTGTTTTTCACTTTAAGCACAGAGGCTGGCTAGCCAGTTTTATCACAGTATCCAAGAAATAGGTATCAGTAAGCCTCCATTATATTGCCACTATGCATCAATCTACACTGAAATGCGGATCATCAGAAGGATAAAAATGATGCCTATAATTTGACTGAAACAACGAAGTCTGACTTTTGCAAAAGATGTTAAAAAAGTACTGGGAGTTTTATTGCATATTAAAATTTAATTTGTTTATGACAATAAAGAGAATGAAGACAATGGGATGGATTGCATTTTAATAAAATCTTCAGACTCTCATTTTTGATTAAACACTTACTGCTGCCTCAAGGTTCTCCTCTCAAATAGTTTCCATCCCATGGCCACCTTCAAATGAATACTTGGGCAGCTGTATCCAGGAGATGTTCCCTCTTTTGTTTATCTACCACCTTAAAACACACACACACACACACACACACACATACCAGATGTGGGTGGAATTAAGTGTTTTTGCACAGTAGTACTTGAAAATGATTGTAGTTTCTTACTCTTGTCTGTTGGTAGGGAGCAAGAGAAATACATGCTTTAGTCCTGAAAGCAGAAATAAGGAGTGTATCTGTTTCTTTTTTCCTGTATTGCATCAGGTGGGAGAAAGCCTTCTATTCTCAACCTCCTCCTAGACAGCACAGTTTCTACAAACTGTCCCGTTCATCTCTTTTGGTATCTATCAATAATAGAAAAAACCTTGTGAAAAGTAGACTGTAGGAAATGACCTCTACATGTGCTCTCCTGTCACACATCCTGGCACGCTGAATCAAAATCATGCCCAGCCTGAGTTGAGTTTGTATCCCTGCTGAGTCTCCTATACCAAGGAGAACAACAAAATAGCTCAGTTATTCACCAATTTGGTTAACTTAACTCAGAACATAGCTTTGAAACCAAAGTAGGAGAAAAAGACCTTAAGCCTTCCAAGTCTAATGTCACAAAAGTCTCTAGTATTTCTTGTTATTCTAAGGAAGAAGCTTCCTTCCACATCCTGTTTTTGGTCACTGGCACACAATTATTAATTGTAGTAACAATGCATTCTTCACCTGGTGGTGACTAGAAATGGCACATAAGTAGAACTGGAAGCAAAGTGAACATCCCAAGGCTCACTAACCCCTGAGGCTGACATACATCACATCCCAGTTGTCACTGGTCAGTCATCAAATCAGGTAGCTGTGTGCTTTAGAAGCAGAATTATTTGCTGTATTTTACAGAGACATATGGAATTTTATCCCAAATATTTTAAGAAATAAATGTTTAGCAGTAATGACATTAGTTCTATGACCTAATTTTTTTTTTCCCAAGGACCTCATTTCATGATGATGCAGGATAAATGAAGCAGTGAGATACTTGAATGTTTTTCCACTTTGCTAAAGTATGGTATCCTTCACATTTTTCATTACATGCTTTTCGATGCAAATTGGAGATTTAAGTTACCGAGATTCATCAATACATTGATCTTCATTTGTATTTGAATTTTAGAGATAAGACATCGAAAGTAATACCTAGGAGAAGTAAATCTTCTTCAGAGGGTAAATAGTTTCCTGCTTCCTCCTGACATTATCTTTTTTATGTTTACTGTGAAGTTGTCATCACACAGAACGTTTACCTTCCATCCCACTGGGCACCATGAGCACAGTGTCACCATCAAAAAATGAGAAGGAGAAGCAGCTTCAAGATTCAGTCCAAAGGTACCACGATCGACTGGCAGAGCAGCAGCCACAGGTGAGCGGTTAATAATTCTTTCCAGATTCTACCTGACTCTTGAGCTATTGATTTCATGTGTGCAGATGAACTAAGTGGCTTACTCAAAGAAAATTCATTGCCTCTTTTTACATCCTTTGTGTCACTCCCTTTTAATTTTGTATCCAAGGACTGTCCTAGAGGTGAGCAAAAGTGTTTCAGAGGTCGAGGAAGGGAAGAGAGCACTTTAAAATATACCTTGGGGGCCCTCCCTGGTGCCACAGTGGGTTAAAGCACAGCACTAAGAAGCTTAAGCCACTTCCTCATGAGTTCGATCCCTGCCTGCCCTGGAGGAGATCCACATGGCGAGGCAGACTTCTCCTGACCCGCCCACCACTCCCCTCAGCGTTGTACTTCGTCGATCTGCCTGTTCTGCTCCCCACTCTGTCTCTGGTGAATCCTCTCACCCACCACACCTCTGGCCTGTTCTGTAAGCATAAATAAACAATTCTTTAAAAAATAATAAAATATAAAAAAAAATAATTCTTTAAGCAAAATATACCATCCATACTGGCCATCCTCAGCTCATTTTTGCAGCAGTGCATTGTGAGGAATGGGGAATTTATTTCCCTTTTGTGGGTGCACTTAAAGTCTCATAGATCAGTCAGATATCAAAGGTGCATTTTCTTTAATTGTATTTTTTTTTATTCTGGTAACAGTGGTATATAACAGTATACTTAAAAAAATGTATTTATGCATACAGAGCTGGGGTGCAGGCCAGAGGCACAGGGTCAGTGAGAGGATTCATTAGAGACAGAGTGGGGAGCAGAACAGGCTGACTGACAAAGTACACTGCTAAGGGGAGCAGCGGGCGGGTCAGGAGAGTCACGCTGTGTGGATCACCTCCGGGGTAGGGATCGAACTTGTGCTGAAGTGGCTTTTGCTTCTTAGTGCTGTGCTTTAACCTGCTGTGCCACTGGGGAGGGCCCAACAGTATACTTCTTAGGGGTCTAGGTCCATACCTCTTCAGATATGTATTATCATGAGAGTGATTTTTTGAGATAAAGAGCTAGGTTTAAAAAAAAAAGTCGGCATATTAATACAAAAATACAAAATCATTTTTTAAAAAAATATTTATGTATACAGAACTGGGGTACAGGCCAGAGGTGCAGGGAGGTGAGAGGATTCACCAGAGACAGAGTGGGGAGCAGAACAGGCAGACAGAACAGGTATACTGATGAAGCACACTGCTGAGGGGAGTAGCGGGCGGGTCAGGAGAGGTCTGGCACGCCATGTGGGTCACCTCTGGGGCGGGGATCGAACTCGTGTGGAAGTGGCTTTAGCTTAGTGCTGTGCTTTAACCCACTGCACCACCAGGAGGGTCCCAAAGTCATATCTGTTAAGAAAAAATTTATTTTTTTGTATATACTTTGCATTATTCTTCATTTTGTACACTTTTTCCATCTCAGTTGTAACCCTCATTAAGAAAATGTAATAGATAAAAACATCAGTAAATGTAGATAACCTAATTTCAAGTGAAAGGAAAAGTGGCATGCAGGAATATTGTTTTAATCTCTTAACTAAAAGTAATGAGACCTCTTTATGGCTTAACACCCCAAATTCATTTTTCAATTGCATCACCTGTCAGCTTCCTCAAACAGAACTTGAGGAAGTTGGCAGCAGATGTCCAAAAGTGTTGGCGCTTCTCTGGATGTCAGGGAAAAATGCCCACTCAGACGGAGAGTCCCAAACCGAGAGGCCCCTAGACTTAACACCTACCATCATGTGCATTCCTGGGCTCTTAAAAGACACTTTTTTTTTAACCACCATTTCCCCTTCTTACCTCTCCACCCTTGATCAGAGACTGTCATGCAAGTAAGCTGTTATCTGGGGTCACATCCCCCACCTTTTAGCCTTGGAAGAACTATTCCCCATACACCAAAACAGCTTAACTTCCTACAGAGCTTTAGAGTCTCTGGCCATAGGTTTGATAGAGGTTACAGATGGGTGTCACCAACTGTTATTTTAATAACCAGTTAAAGGCAATGATGGAGTGTTGCAGTGTTGAATGTGTTCATTTGTTTGGCGTAGCACTCGCTGTCACTTTTGAAGGCATTCCGCGCAGTGTGGAGTGAGCTTATCTATGTTGTAGTCTCACTTCTTTATTTCCCATAAGGTCTTAGTTGACCACTGTGTAGTAATAGTGCCAGTCACACAGTCTTCGTGATCTTTGTTTGTTTAGGATTGGGTCTCTTACTCATCACCGAGGTAACAGTTTTAATAGTGACCGGTAAAAGGTTTTAATGATAATCTGACACTGAGGAATGGATTTGTGCCATCATTTCTGCTTTTTCTTTCTTTGTTGATAGTGATTTTTTTCATAAAAAGTTGTGCCATATTTAGAGATGCTGTCTGTTTCAAATAGTAAAAAGTTCAGCGGTCTGTAAGCAGTGACCTACTTTCATCATTTCAAAAGTCCTAAGCATCTTCAACAACTCCCTGCCTACTTTGTGAATGAAAATAATCTCAGAATCTTTTATTTTTTACTTTAAACTCAATATTTCATTTATTTATTTTAATTATTTTTCTGATCCTTGAGCAGTGAATATCTTTCCGTTTCTTTGTGTCTTTTTCTATTTCTTTTAACTATGTTTTTCAGTTTTCTTTGTGTGTGCCTTTCATCTCCTTTGAACATTATGCTCATGTATTTAGTTTTTTGGGGGGTACAATTGTAAATGGAATGCTTTTCTCAATTTCTTTCTCTTCATACTGAGTGTTTACATATAGGAAGGCTACTGATTTTTGTGCATTGGTTCTGTAACCTGCTACTTTACAAAACTGGTTAATTGTTTTGTTTTTCTGTGCATAATCCTAGTATCTTTAATATGTTTCCAGCATTCATTGGTAGTCAGGGAAAGCTTTAATTTGGGTTCACCCTCCCACTAGCAACCAGTTAATTTTGAGATGTTTGTTCACTGTCCACTGAACCTCCCATACCAGTGCCCTTTGGTGAGAAAGTGTAACCCTAAAGTTATACAGGCAAGTAAAGGACCAACACATTTAATAAGGTTAAAGAAATAAAAAAATTTGGAGGTAGTCAATGAAGCCTTAATTGCCCTTGGGTCCATTTTGTGCTGGACACTGTGAACAATATAGTATAACTATTAAGACCAGAATGTAAACTGTTTAAGTGCAGGGATAGTGATTGTGTTGTCTACTGTGAATCGATGTTACTTAAAATTATGCCTGGAATGTAATAGGTATTCAACAGACAGTTGTTGAATAGAGCTATAATCTAGTCCCACAGAAAATATGCAGCCCTTTGTGGATCAAGTCTAACCACCACTGTAAAGCAATGCTAGTTCAGTGTTTGATCATAACTGAAACTACAATAGATGTGTGTAACAAGGAAATACTGAAGGCAGCTTCAGTGAAAACATGTTTTTATTGGAAACAGCATATACTTTGTATCCTGAAGTTTATTTAGGATAAATTGAGGAAAGGGCAACCATTCCAGGTGAGAACATTAGAAATAAAAACTTGGAGATGAGCAGAGTTCTTCCTTCATGGAGTCATTCTTTTAAATTACATGCTAAACTTAGGAGTTTAAAAAAGGAACTCAGCATTTGTGTGACAGTCTTTAAGAACTGTGCAACTCAGTGTAAAATATGGTAATCATTGAATAGAAAACCCCCTGAATGGTGATCTCAGTTTCCCTTTCACAGGACCAACCTAGCAAATTATTCAAGAACTATTTTGATGTTAGTTGCCTGGTTCCAGAAACAAGACTTAGAACCGTCTCATTTCAGTGTGAATTTACTGTCTTACTGAATACCTTTTAGAAAGGACTGTTATGTATGTCACAGTCAAGGGTAGGGAAATCAGAACAGAGCAGAACTTTGGTGCCACTCAGATTCAGTCCAGACATGTTTCATGTGGAGGCTAGACACCACCAGGAAATCGTGAGGTGACCAGTGTGAGTCACCATTCTTGAAATATTAGGAAAGGACCAGTACACAGCAGGTGGCTACAGTTTGCCTGCCTTCCTTCTCTTTACCAGCCTAGCCTCCCATGCCCAATGCCAGTTTATCCATTGGCTAGACCTACCTAGAAAGCAAATACAAAAGTGACTGCACAACTCATTTCTTATTTTCTTGAATTTTAGCTTCAAGGACAGGAGGCATCCTGATCTGGAAAAGGAAGAGTTGGCTAGGTATACCAAAGACCTTTCTGCATCTTGATTCTGTGGTCCTAAGTTTTGTATCATTGACAACCAGGAATGATAGATTAATGGTAGAAAGAGTAACATTATTGTACTATAAGAGTATCTATCAATGATCAGCAGCTCTGATCTCTTCTGCCTTCTTTAATAAATTAATTTTTATATCTATTTTACTTCATTGTTCATTTTTAAACAATGTTTATCCCCCCCCCCCATAGAACGTCCTCCTCCAATTCACCCCTGCACCATCACCACAGTCTCCTGTGTTCCTCCCTCTCTCCTCTCTCCTGCTCCCCTGCAGGATGTCTCTGGTTTATAATTGTCTGTTTTTGTTGCGTTTTGTATTGTTACTATTCCCCCCTCCCCAAGTCTCATTTGGTTACCCTATAGTCCTCCTAGAAGTGAAACCATCTGATATTTTTCTTTTTCCTTTTACTTATTTCCCTGAGCATGGTTCTTTCTAGCTCTATCCATGTCACTGCAAATAGCATTTGTTTACACACCCTACAGTTGTTGAAGTGATATAACTTTCAGGAGCAGTACCCACAGAATGCCCTAGTTTGAGGATATATACAGTGTAGCATTTGGTATTAAAAAAAAAAGTATCCCAATATTAGAGCTTGTCCTCTAGAAAAATGAAGCTCAATCCAAAACTATCATTCCACAGATGGTGTTTTATTTAATCCCTGCAACATTCCAGCTGTTACACCAATTTAACAAGAGGGAAGCGAAGTTCAAAGAAGTTCAATAACTTGTTCAAGTCATACTCTTTTAAGTGGTAAAGTTAGAATTTGTTTTCTTTTTGCCTAACTCCTGCATG